CAAGAGACCAGGGGTTGCCCCCACATTGGACAGAGCCAAAGCCAGTGACCCCAAAATGGACCCACCCAAGGACAAAGTCAAGCCTTGTAAATGATGCTGGTGGTGTGGTAATGTATTTAACAAAGGGTAAAAATACTCTGCAGCAGCTGTGAGAGAGGAATGAGAAAAGCCTGAAGGAAACAGCCCTGCAGACACCCAGGTCGGTGAGGAAGGAGGGGAGGAGGTGTTCCAGGTGCCAGAGCTGAGATTCCCCTGCAGCTGGTGGTGCAGCCCATGGTGAAGCAGCTGTGCCACCGAAGCCCATGGAGCTCCACGGTGGAGCAGAGATCCACCTGCAGCTCATGGGGAACCTCACATGGGAGCAGGTGGATGTGCCCTGGGGGAAGCTGCAGGCTGTGGAAAGCCCTTGCTGGAGCAGGCTCCTGGCAGGAATGATAGCCTGTGGAGTGGAGCCCACACAGGGGTAGGTTTTCTGGTAGGATCTGAGACCCTGTGGAGAACCCACACTAGAGCATAGAAAGAGCATGAGGAGGAAGAAGCAGCAGAGACAAAGTATTATGGATTAACTGAAACCACCATTCCCCATTGCCCTGCACCGCTTGGGGAAAAGAGGTGGACAAGATGGGAATGAAGGAGCGAAGTTGAGCCTAGGAAGAAAGGTGGGGGCAAAGAGGTCTTTTTACTTTTGTCTTTGCTTCTCACTTTTCTACTCTATTTTTAATTGGCAATAAAATAAACTAATTTCCCTAAGTCAAGCCTGTTTTGCCCATGACAGTAATTGGTGAATATTGTCCCTGTCTTTATCTCAACCCACAAGCTTTTTCGCCTAATTTTTTCCCCTTGTCCTTTTGAGAATGGGGAGTGAGAGGGCAGCTTTGTGGACAACTGACAGCCAGCCAAGGTCCTCCTTTAGACCTCAGGTAAGATACCCAGAGAAAAATAAGAGACCAAAACAAGTACACTTGAATTTATAGCAGTTCAGGGAAAAAACCTATGTGATTCTGTAAAAAGTAAGCAAAAGAAAATCACTGTGTTACTGAAAGTACAGTGATAGTTCTAGGTTTAAAATAGTTTGATAGACATACTTTCTATAAAGACCTTACTACCATTCAAACACGCTTAAAAACAAATGATCAGCTTTGATTATGGTGTTCAAACACAAGCAATGCAAAAATCAAATGCAAGTATGAAAAAACGATTCAGTGATCTTGGTAACATACTGTCTCAAATGCATCTTCAAAATCTTTAATGAACTGGGAACTACCCACTTCTTTCAGAATATTTTTGGGACTAAAGCTACCCCAAGTGACATTAAAAAATATACTACAGTTCGAGAGAAAGCAACCGCAAGGTTTCTCTGTAACTGAGCATGAGGGCACTCATAAGCTGAAATACAGACTGTCATTCCTACTGCTTTCACTGGTTGTGAATGAAATACAGCAGCCCAGAAGGTGTGACTCATTAAGGATTTAAAACAAACAGCAGATTGTCCTACTATACCATGCTGTGCATGCAAATGGTCTGTCTAAACATGCAAATGCGGTATCAGTAGGAAAACTATGTGCTACTCTCACTGATAAATTTGGTTGACTTATGTTATGCTTATGTTCTGGGAGTTTAAAAGTTTGTACAATTAACACAAATTAGGATTGTATGGTACTTTTCAGCTTTTTAAGTAACAAGGCTGACTTCCTGAAGATGACATGAGGACCTGTGGCTGACATACCCCAGGCAATGACATGGGGACATTCTGAGAATTCAAAAAGATGAAAAGGAGATGAAATATTATCTCAGGTGCAAAATGCCACACACTGCAGTGTGTAACTGTTAACTGATAACATTTCTACTCTGGAGATTATTGCTGGCAACCACCAAGCTACTCTTTATTCTAAAGGTAACCACAGAATTGTTTGCAGCTGATGGGTCTTAACTGAGGCTAAATGGAAGAGGCAAGGAAAATCTTCAGTCTAGTGAAGTAAGTGAAATAGTAAAGCATCAATGCAGTAACAGGTAAGAACTAAGTGAAGCTGAGCTTTGCCCTTTTGTAGAGGGTACAAAGCAGTGTGTGGTAGCAGTGTGCCCTCATGGATGGGCAGTGGGATGGTGCTTTGTCTGTCTGCAAGAAGAGGCAGAACTTTCCCTGGAGAGATAGGAACCTGGATTTCTGTGACAGAGAAATACAGCTTGTGGATTACATCAGAGGCAACAGAATTAATACCTTCACCAAACTTGGCTGCAGCATTGGAATGAGCTGTGAAATAACTCTTACAGGCCTGGCATTCTTGTTCAACTCTGCCGACCTCTGGTGAACTTCTGTGAGACAGAATTTTCAGAAAGTAAAGACAACCACAAGAATTCTGAATAGTATTTGGGGATTTATCCGGACCAGACAAATCGGGCAGAGGGTTGACCAGAGATTGATCAGGCACTATCAGGGACCAAAAGATTTACAAAGGTTTGCAAAGACATTCACTAACAGGGATGAGATGCAGGAAGGACTGAAGCTTTCAAATGTTCACTTTGGAGAGGAATTTAAGGGCTTGAAAAATGGAGTGGAAGTCTTAGATAAAAAATTTAACCTGTCAACAAACTCAGCTAAAACCAGGCATTTACAATGAAATTGTCTCCAGTTGGAAGTCAGTGTCCTTGAAGGAAATCAGTGGATATGCAAAAAATCACTATTTCTAAGGAAAATTCCCTGTGAACTCTTCAGTCTAGGGATCTAGTCAATCTGAATAGGCAGCTCAGGGGTGCTGCACAAGTCACTGACAAGAAAGAGTCAAAAGTCATTTTGGAGCACAAATGTTCTTCCCATGCTGGTGAGGGTGGCATGCAGCTGGTCAAGCCAGCCAGGACCAGAAGGAATGCGAGTAAGAGATCTCAGTGCAGCTGCTCAGTTCAGAGGAGTTCAGCTCAGCTCACTCTTTCAGAGCACTACATTTTACTGGCAGGCCCCCACCAGACCAAAGAGCTTGTTGAGCACACTGAAAATCAACTTCTGTCTCAGGAAATAAAGGAAGTAACTAGAGGAAGCCAAGATGCTACTTCTGTTTTTAAACAAGGAGGAACTGGTTGAAAATCCAGAAAAGGAAGGCAGTTTGTTTGAAAGTGGTAATGACACACAGAGTTATCTTGTTGCAAGGAAAAAGTACAGAAGACCTGGAATAAGGAAAAAAGTAGACTTTTGAAAAGTCAGTGAACAAAAAGGTAATGTCTTTTGATACGGTGACTTCAAGAACGAAGGCTGCTGAGAGCAACTGGAAGCAAATATATTAAAACCCAAGAAGCAAATTTTCTCTATAAGAAGAAAAGACAGGAAGTATAGTAAGAAAAATGTGTAGCAATAAGATTACTTCTGCCAGAAATTAATGCCTTTGAGTAAGTAGTCTTGTGTATCAACCTGAATAGGGGAAAAAACCCAGTCATTATATATAGTCAACAGCACACAGAAATCTCTAAACCAGAGTTGATTTCCTGTGACCACTAATGCAGGTCAGGGAAAGTCATAAACAACTGCAAAAGGCTACACATAGTGCCCGTGTTCCAGGATAAATCTGTTCATTGTTGCAAATGCCTGAAAGGTCAGCTGGAGAAACTGTAAATTATGCAACATCCTACACACATATATCTATATCTATAATCTATAATCTATATCTATCTCTGCGGAGCAGACCTGGGAGTATATGTGGTTTGAATGATATCCTAACGTTTGGAAAAAAGGATCAGCAATCTGATCCTCAGTGCTCACTGCATTTTACACACATGATTTAAACCCATGTGATTATAACTTCAAAGACCTCAGCTGAAGGTGCAAGAGGTCAGACTGTTTTATCTATGACCTTCATTTAGAATGTGAATTTGAATCGTCTGCAAATTCTCAAACTCATTAATAAATACAGAACAATTTTGTTGCATGGTACCCTTCCTGGTAATAAATTAAAATCCTGTTAAAAATCAAGTACTTTCACTGTTCATTTCTAATCACAGCTCTGCTCGATTATGCTGCCTTTTTGAAAATCTACCCTGTGTCAATAGTTTCTAATTGTTTTGATTTTTCTTCCCTTTTGCCTGTGTTATAACTGCAAAGCCTGAGGCAGCTGATAGGAATACAACAGAATAGGAATACTGCCTACATTACTGTTATTCTGAGCACCTTAATTTTTAGCTTCGGGATTCTCACATATGCATCTAACTAAAAGTACTATTCAGGTGCTGGTGCCCCTAACAAGATACTTTATCTGAGAACCATCCAAGAAAATAATTGTCCTGACCTATTTAGAGGTGTGTCTTAGTTGCTGATATCAAAAGCAAACAGACAGTACCAGCCAACAACCCGTACCATCTGGTTTATGTGGAATGAGCAAGGCTAACAGGGTTTCTTATTAATGTCTTCTCATAGTTTATTTATAAACCATTGTGGGGTGTGACACAGAAGGGCTCGTAAGAAACCTGACAACTGGCTTTAAAAGAATTGAGGGATGAGGTCAGATTTGCAGGCTGTGACTTCCTGGACAGGATTCTGCTGGTGATATGAGCAGGGAGGCCTTATCATAGATTGTGGAGGCCACGTGAGCTGCTCCTCAGCTGCAGGGATCTCTGTATGGCATGTCCTCTGGCTGAGGCTTCACGTCTCTGCAGTTACATGTAAGTGGGATCCTGAAGAAACCGGTGATGCTGAAGAACTGGGGACCTACTTGAAAACAACAGAGCACTGAGTTTCTTTCTGTTGCTGCTGGTCCCCTTTCAGCTGCCACCACTGCTCCAAGGTTATTACCCAGCATGCAGGGTAACAGCCTTAAAAAATAAATGGCACAAGACATCAGGGCCTCACTTGCTTTGTTTTTTCTTCTTATACATAAAATCATCCACTAAAATGCTGTGCAGTGTTAAAAATATAGTGCCCTTCCCCCCATCAATAATTCCCTGACCATAAGAAAATGCTTCTGCCTGGAAACTGGCACTGATTTTGACATAGGTTAAGACTCAGAAGAACCCAGAGCCTAAGATCAGGAGGGGCACCTGCTGCTGTTTTATTTGAAGCGGCTTCCTTGGTGACACTAATCCACTCGCTCGGTGGTACACACAGGATGGGCTCAGCTGGCATTCAGGGCTGGAAGCCCTCAGCCCTCCCTGTGCACACCAAATATCGGGGCACACTCAGCTGGGGCAGCCCAGGGCCACGGCTCAGCAAAATGATCTTCCTCATTCAGTCCATTCCACGCTAGAATAGGCTGCCCAGGGAGGTCGTGGAGTCACCGTCCCTGGAGGACTTTATGGAAAGCGGCACTCAGTGCCGTGGTCTGGTTGACAAGGTGGTATCCGGTCAAAAGCTGGACTCGATGATCTCAGAGGTCTCTGCCAACCTAATTGATCCTGTGATTCCATGCTGTGGAATGCTCCTTTGTGCCCCTGCTCTGAGCTGTCACCCGCGTCTGCCCGGGTGTGCCGCGAGCTGCACCAGGAAGAAACTGCTGTAAAGCCGAACCAAGGAGGCAACAGGGGCATTTTCGGCTTGGATCCGTTCCCGGCCAGTGCCAGCCCGCAGCCAAGGTGAGCAATCGCCCCTCCAACCCACCGGCACTGGGTCCCAACCCCCCCCGTCCCGCCCTGGGTCACCTCGGCCCGCCCGCGGAACTGCGCGCGCGGCGCTTCCGGGGCGGGCCGGGCCGCGGCGGCGGCGGGAGGCGGCGGTGCCGGGCCGGGTAGGGCAGGGCCGGGCAGGGCGGCCCCGGCCGGAGCGGCTCCTCCCCGGGCCGGAGCGCCTCCCGGCGGCGGCGCCCCGCGGCGCGGCCTGCTCGCCATGAACATCGACGTGGAGTTCCACATCCGCCACAACTACCCCTGGGCCCGGCTGCCCGCCAGCGTCAGGCAGGTGCGGGCGGCCGAGCGCACGGCACGGGGCAGCGGCGGGTTGGGACAAGGCGGGGTTCGGCCCTGGCGGGTCCGGGGGAAGGCGGGCGGGCCCCGGGGACCGTGGGGTGACTGCGGGGAGGGGGGGAGGTGGCTGTGCGGAGAGCGGGGATATGTGCGGCAGTGTGGGGCTCTCTGTGGGGAGAGGGGTTGTGAGGAGAGTGTGGGGTCTCCGTGGGGACAGCGGGGTGTGAGGAGGGTGGAGGGCCCGCATGTGCAGAGCGGGGGGACTGGGGGTGTGCATGGCCTTTCTGTGTGGAGAGGGGTGGGTGTGTGTGTGGGTGGTGCCTCTGGAGAGAACGGAATAAGAAAGCGGTGTGGGCTCTGTGTGCGAGGTGTATGTGTGTGTATATATGGCCTCGGGGAGAGGAGGGGTACGTAGGGGTGCCTTGGGAGATGTCAGGGTGCCAGAGGGAGATGTGGGGTACCCGCTGAGCTTTTGCAGATGGAAAAACAGGGGAGTTGGGTGTCCCTTCTCCAGCCCCTGGCTGTGTGAGCCGAACCAGGACAGGTGTCCTCGGAGGCTTGTGCAGTGCCGTGTTTAGGTAGCCAAGGAGATCTGTGCTGCGAATGGCTCCTAGAAAACAAAACCTCATGAAATTTTGATTGCCTGGATTTAATGGGGCTCCGATAGCAGAGGGGAGGTACTGTGTCCAGGTGAGAGGAAGTTCTTGCCTCTAAAGTCTTATGCTGCTTGAAAGGAGATGCTGTTAAACAATTAATTCCTTCTCTTGCACAGAGGAATGATGGAGAGGATGAGTAGTGGTTGCAGGCCTCGAGTAATTTAATTCCTTGAGTTTGAGATTTCAGGGGCAATAGAAGTGGAATGAATGATGCCCAGCATGAGTGCCATAATCTTGGCTGTGTGATTCAGGATAGAAAATATACCAGTGTTTAATGTTTTATTTGCTTTAGTGTAACTTCTGGAATCCTGTTTTGTTTACTTCAGTGTTAACATAGTCCTGAATATTTTTGTACTTTGAGCAAATACTTGGATCCTTCTTTGGATATTTATTCAGTTACAGACCCTCTCTGTGATATGAGAGGTTGCTTTTCTAATACCTGATTCTGCAGTTTGTGTGCAACTTTCTTGTTTATCCCCTATATGCAGTAAAGTACCTTTTCATCAAATGATCTCTTCTAGTATAAGCATCAGTGAGGGAACCAGGAGAGGAAAGAGGAAAACCAGACAACCCAAATGACTTGATGCAGAGTAGACAAGTAATTTAAAGAATATTAAGGGGACAGTTTTTGAAGTAAGGCATTTGAAGCATAAACCAAAGTTCTCTTTTTATCTTCTTTCCTGATAGTCAAGTAATGTGCTGTGCTTGTTCCTTAATCTTGTGACCTAGGATCTCTTGATTGCTTCACTTCTGTGAAGCTGCAGCTTGAGCAGTTTCACTATTTTATTTTTTGGGGATTATAAGCTTCTTGGGTGCAACAGTTGAAGCTTTGCGTGTCATTCACTATGCTTGATTTTTGCTACACTAATTCTGGGTAATTCTTCAAGGCTGAAAGATGCTGAATGCATGGTAAATGTTTGATGCATCATGTGCTTGGTTTGAAAATCAGATGCTCCCTTTTTTATCACAGTGGTATTAGGGAAGAAAATATCTGAAGATGATTGCTTAAATCTGAATCCTGTGTAGAAACCTGTTTAAAGATATTTTTGAACTCCTACAGAGACTAAAGATACTGTCGCTGTTGAACTGGGAGCTCACTGAGCAATGACAAATACCTGCATAGGTTTCCTCATGAGGCACTGCAGTGGTTTGACTAAAAGGGGGTTTGTGCAAGTCAGTTAAAAGGCTTTTATGTTTTCAAGGGTCTTGGAAACTCCCAGAGGGAATATGAAAGGCAAGTTGTACTCTACAGCATCCGCAATCAATTACGATACCGGAATAACTTAGGTGAGTAAAGAAGCAAAGTAACTTCTAATTGCTGTCCTGTCCTTCTGTGTGGAAGCTTGTCTTTACTTTAAAAAATGCAAGAACAAGCCTGTTTCAAAGGTCCTCCCTTCCTTGAAAATAAATACTATTAAATAATAAAACATCAAGAAAAATCTTGACTTTTGAATCCATTTGGCAACTTTTCTAGCAAAGCACTCTTGGAGGTTACTGAGTTTCCAAGTGGAACTGAATTCCTGCTGTAGCTCTGCCACCATTTTCCAAGAAATTAAGAGATGTTAAGAGAGAATTTGACTTGTAAAGCCTGTCACTAGATGAGATGCAGTGACCCTGACTCACATTGACTATTGGCTATGACTTGTTTGCAGAATTTCAATTTAGTTCACACTGACTGCATCCATTTGTCTTCACAAAGTAGATAATAGTTTCACTAATTAAAAGAGATTTTTCTACAGCCTCCATGAGTTCTATCTCAATGGGCCACTTCTTGGTAACCCATTAGATAAATCTACCCTGTTTTGGTGTCATCTCTAACAGCTCTGAGACTACTTGTATCCTATGTAGGAATTTTTGGGTGCTGAATGCCTTGCACCACTGCTTTATTTTGCTTGTAGTTTTCTGTCAATTGCCAGTATGCTATTTTTAATCCTTTTGTTGTAACACTTTTTTGGTTTTTTTTAAATTGAACATCATAGAACAGTGCAACTTTTTCTCCCCTTGTAGTTAAGCATGTCAAGAAAGACGAACGTAAATATTATGAAGAACTGTTAAAATACAGTCGAGATCATCTCATGTTGTACCCTTATCATTTGTCTGACATCATGGTGAAAGGTCTGAGGGTAACACCATTTTCCTATTACACAGGCATAATGGAGGTGAGTGCAGAACTGTGGTGAGAGTGTGTTTTTCTCTGTCTAGAGATGTTGGTAATGGCCCTGTAATGCATACAAGTTTGTTTGGTTTTGTGTAGGCTCTTCTGAGAAGTAAGGAGACAGTAAGGAAAGTTTCTAGAGAACTACTTGTACCTGCATTTTTTTTCCTTTCTGCCCCATTAGCCTTTAAAGAGCTGGACTTTGTCATGTGGAGCTGGGGTGGGACTCACTCTGAGGCGGGACTTTCTCTTTTGATGCTTGAGATTTGTGAGTCTTCACTTCAACCTGTAAAAGGAATACCCAATTTTTTTAGATTCATAAAACAAAGAGAATCACCATTTTAAAAACCCAGAACTTTGAATGTTTTTTAATTTTTTTTTCAAAAAGGACACAACCATATTAGAAGCTTTTTGAAAAGCCTGAAGCAGATCTGTTTTTATGAGAACAAAAATGGTTCTGTTTTCTATCAGCACTCTGGCAACCTTCTTCTATTTTTGTTGGATATTAGAAGTGTTTTTATTTTATTATGTGTATAGTGATTGCAGACATAATGGATTAGTTGTTTGTTTATTCTGTTATTAGTTAGAAATTTTGTGTGCTTGTTTTTTTGTGAAGAGAGATACAGAATTTTTTGTATTAGTCTTTCAGTCAGCTTTTTTCTTTGCAAAAGTAACATTAAACAGAAGTCTCACTTTTTATGTATTTAATTTATTGTGTAATGATTAATTAAATGATTGGCAAGTTTGATAAGGTAACTGACTTTAATAGACTTGTTTAAATTTCATTTACTTCTTAAAATAAAAAGGACAGGCAGGTTTTTAGTCCTGCTTCTCTGCAACAATGACTTTCTTCTTGCAAACTGAAAGTTTTCTTTTCTTTTTAAGGATATAATGAATAGTGAAAAAAGCTATGATTCTTTACCCAACTTCACTGCAGCTGATTGTAAGTATTACCTACTTGCATTACTGCTTTCAGTGAGCTGGACATAAGGAGCTTCTGAAAATGGATTTGCAGGCATCTGTTTGCTTGAACATCAGCATGTGAATGAGGGTGTAGAGGCACTTAAATAGTGATATTGAGGAGTGTGTACTCTTCATCCAGCAAAATGAGCTGCTGGTCCTTTTCTAGTGTGTTTTTTGGCATGTGTTGGGCTGAAGACATTAGCAAGTCACTGAGAGGCTGTTCACACTCCTGTGAAGTGGCATCTATGGGAATTAAAGGATGATGTACCAGAAAAGAGAGGGAAGAGAATCTGGTATTTTATGACACTCATGGATGTGTCAGATGTGTTATTTATTACACTGTTCTGGTATGAGATGGGGAGATTAGGAAAGCAAAAACCTTGAACCTGGTGGAGTAGAACAGAATAAGATGAACAGGCTACTGAAATGTCTTATAGAGCAAAGTGTAAACTGCTGGCACAGGGATGATGTTAATCAAACCTGCCACTGAAAAGTTATCTCTAGTTAAAGACTTAATTCCTCACCTTTGGTATATATGTATAAAGTTGTCTTTAAGGATAGTGTATGGTCAGGTGAGGAGTAGCCTGCAGATTTTGGAAGGAGTTGGTTTTGTTTTTAAAAGGATATTGTCAATTGACTACTGATTTGCCTCTATGTAATGTTCACAGCAGGAAAACAGATAAGAACTTAGTTCTTCAGCACCACTGTGCTTGTTGGAAATCCAGTGTTAGTCAGGAGTATGAAGAGAAGAATGACTTCCCTCTTTTTGTTTGATTTCTCTCGCCCACCAACAATTCTGTTATCTTAGCCCAGCTGCAAATTAGTGACTGCAGTATAATTAACTTAAACTTCTTCAATTACATTTTATCATAAAAGCTAGTGTCAAACCAGAAAGTTGGAGTGAAAACTAATGAATAGTTTTCTAATATC